ATCATTTCTGTATCATGGATCAGCAATATGACCTGCAAGCTGTTCCTGGTTGCGTGGAGTCTTGTATCACTACTGTACTACAACTGCATTTATAGCTTAATTGATATTGGCCAAACATTTCAAAAAATCAGGCATGAGAGTCTCCTGTGCTACTTTATACTATAATGCTATTTTCCTTTCAGCCAATATTATCTACAAGTAAACTAGAAGCAAACAAATGTTACATTTTTTGTTTCAATAGAAAATTAGAGCAGAGATCATTAAAATAGAAATAAAGGATGTTCAATAAAGCCAACAGCTTGATATTTTTGTGAAAAACTATTAGAAGAAACAAACCTCTGTTATAATTGATCAAAAGAGAAAATTAAGAAGACATAAATAAGCATGGTCAATAAAGAGCAAAAATATAATTATAAAAAGAGTAAAATAGTCTAAACAATTATATGTGAAGAATTTTGAAAAATTAGAAACAATTAATGCCTAGAAAAATGAGGCTATGATAGCTGTTTAAGTAAATCAGAATTTATGCCATGATCAGAATAAGCAGAATTAAATACTGTAAAGTTGTCAGTTCTCTCTGATTGATATATGGACTCTGTAATCTCAACTAACGTGTTATAAAAAGTATATTAATGAAAACTGCAAGGTGTTACAAGGAACTTTATCAAATGATTTTGAAAATTCTATCAAAGATTAAATAGCCAAGAGTAGCCAGAACACTTCTAAAATCTGTATTGAGAAGGTATCTATCCTACTAATTCTTGGGACTTACAAAATTATTATGATTAAAATACTGTGGCACTAATACAGAGATTAAAAAGAAAAAATATAGTCAATGAAATATACCCATGAATTTATTAAACTTTATGTCATACAAGTAATATTTTAAATCATAGGCAAAATAAGAATAGAATAGAAAAATAGCTAGGTATTAAATTGGATTCCTACCTTCAACTAAATACAAAACTCAATTTTATGTAATTAAGCCATTAAATGTCAAAAACAAAGCTTAAAATTAAAGGTAAAATGTCTCTTAGATTTTAGTAGGAAATATTTCATAAACAAAATACAAAATATTCTTCTAAAATGAAATATTGATAAATCTTTCAATGTTAAAAGGAAGAATTTTGATTAGGAGATAACTTATAAAAGTGAAAATGTCATATAAACTAGAGAAAAATATTCTTTCTACATACAAGCAATAATATATAATTGTCAAAAATAACTATACTCTAGTCAATTAAAAAAAAAACTTTATAGAAGAATGGATAAAAGACATGCAAAAACATTTCATAGAAGAGGAAATACAAATAACCAATAAATGAAAGAAGAGTTTCTCAATATCTTTAGTGATGAGAGAAATGCAAAACAAGATTACATTGAGATTAATTTTTACACTCTGTTGATAGGCAAAAAAAAAAAAAAAATCAATGGACTGAAGATGAAGCTGAATAGTAGAGCACTTGCAAGGCATGCCTTAGGTCCTAAGATCAGTCCCCATCATCTCTGCAAACAACATCAACGACAACCACAAAAAGGAGTATTCTTGATCAAAAGATTTGCACATATCAGCTTTCTTAAACTTTATTGGTGGGAAGCTTAAATGGCATGAGAAATTTTGCAAACAGTTTGATGTTATAGTAGTTGCCCTATATTTTCAAGGGATTCATCCCAACTCCCCTCCAAAGGTCCCCCCAAATGTGAACACTACTGTAAAACAGTTATATTAAATTTTTCCCAGTACATACTTGCAGTAAATGGTTCAGTGCCCTTCATTTCAGGGGTTTCCCTACCAAAGATTCTTTTAGTCTCAGTGCTTTCTGGTGCAACATATTGCCATAGATCCATTCTTTCCTTCACAGTTTCACAGATAGTTCTTACCACAGACCTTAGCAAGCTCCACGAGTTTTTTCCCCCCATTTTTTATTAAATGAGGAACTTTCATCTTTTCACTTAAAAGAAGTACTTCATATCTTTCTCCTTGTCATATCCACATTTCCAGCCTTATTATACTTAAAATATATATTGGGACCAGCAAGTGAGGTAAGGGTTACTTGAACATTAGTATCATGCTACCATGGTAGGTACAATAATTAAGAAGACTACACAAATTATTTATTTCTGGAATTTTCCATTTAATATTTTCAGACTGTGGTTTACCATGGATAACTGAAACTATGAGAAGTTAATCTGTAAAAGTGGGGCTGCTTTATCTTGTAAAGTTGAATACTCACACTATGACACAAAATAATCTATAGGCATATATTTGAGAAAAAAATCTTGCCAATATACAAAAGGAAACCTGTACAAATATTTTCATAGTCAACATCTTTTACAGTAACAAGAATCTGGAAATCATTCATATGTCTAGTGGAGAGGAAGATGGGTGAGGTATTTGTATAATTTTATAAGATTATGTCAGACTGGATGTACAATATTGAAAAGTTGACAGCAATAGTCTTGATATATCTAGGGTTTGTAACTTTTATAGAAATATAAATAGAAAAAAATCCAAAATAACAAAATTTAAATTACTTAATTTTCATGTTCTATATGATTTTCTTAAGCAATATTATTTTAAATTAAAAGAATAATGTTTATATTTGTGACTCTAATTTAATCCCCTAGAACATCTAGAATGTGTCATGTGGTACTATGCCCTGACCCACTTACGTGCCCAATAAACATTGGTTAGATGAATGATCAATAATTTTTAAATTTGTGCAAATATTAATATGTCTAGAATACTGACAGTTAATATATGAAAATGGTTTATAATGTATGGAACACTGTAAAGTGAAAAGTTTACTCAAATCCTATCAGTGAAGATTATATTATGAATGATTATTAAGACCACTGAAGCTCAGCGGGGTGGTGCTTGCCTGTAATCCCAACAACTCCAGAGGCTGAGAAAGGAGGACCTCAAGTTCAAAGCCAGCCTCAACAAGGGTGAGTAGTTGCTAAGCAACTCAGTGAGACACTGTCTCTAAATAAAATACAAAATAGGGCTGGGGATGTGGCTCAGTGGTCCAGTGCACCTGAGTTCAATCTCTGGTACCAAAAAAAAAGACTACTGAAGTTAGTTCCTAATTGGCATTTATTATCATAAATGGTACTCATAAAATACCATTAATAACTAATAATTTTTGTACACTAATCCACAGGTAGATGTTACATTGAAATAAATTAATAAGTAATATGTTATTATCTATTAATTGGATTATTGCATTTTTTTGTGTTTAATAATCCTTTAACTGGTACATATACTGACTGCTGTTAAATTTAATGAAATTTTCTTGCATATTACTTTAAATAATAGAAACTTTAAGAATTTTTAAAAAACAAAATACTACAGTCAGTACTATATCAAAATACCAACAGTATAATATGAAAAGACATTAGAAAGGAAAATAAAGGGAAATTTTTGTATCATACCAAAACATTTGGAAGAAAAACATAGAATGCCAGGCAAAAATGAAATGCTTTAGTTTCAGTAATACATATCTCAGAAATATCAACCATAGATAATAAATTTCTCCAAAAAGTTAAAAACAAAAAAAAAAGCTTAAAGAATCCATTAAACTGAAAATAATTTTTGAAAATGTAAGTATATGTTTATGCAATTTGACTATGAAATTACTTTTTGAAATTTATCGATATCAAATAAGAAATTCTAATTTTCCTAACTATATGAATTTTGGAAATGAATATTATTTTAATATTTCAAATGACAAAAGATATTACTAGAATCAGGTTACTTTGTTCTATTTCAAAATATTCTGTATTGTCTATCTTTCAAACTATTTGGAGATAGAGGAGAAATATATACAAGGATGTTAGATTTTGCTTGTGTATTTCAGGCATACTGGAAGAGAGCAAAATGCCTGTTAAATAATAAAATTACATATTTAGATTTATAAGTTGAGTTAAAAATATATAAGTACCAGTGTTGCAGAACAGATATTATATGCAAACGAGAAAATATAATGCCATGTGGCAGTTGAATGCATGGTTGGGTTTTCAGTGATGCAACATCTAACATTATTGGTTCAGTTGAGCAACTTTATGAGCATAATTATGGGAATGTCACAATTTGGTAGGAATTGTAGCAAATTTGATACTATAGTGAACATTTATGCAGATTTCAAACATGGCCAACAAAAAAATACTACATGTTATGTTTTGCTTATGAAAAAAACCTAATTAAGACAATAATCAATTTGAATAAGAAAATAACATTTAATTAAGAATTATTGCTCTTTTATATATAATACATGCGATATATATGTACATATATAGTATATAATCACATAAGCTGTATTGAATTGAGCAGAATTATTTTTTGTTTTGAAAATTTTCAAAATGCTTACTTTCTATATGGATTTTTTTTTTTTAAATCTTGCCTTGCTCAGTAGATGACAAATTTGGAGAAAGAGTAGAGATATTTTCATCAGGTCACTTAAAAAACTGAATTTGAGCAATGATAATCCATGGAGCAGAGATAAAACTATGCTTAGGAAAAATAAGTTTGTCATAGAAGATTTTTTAAAAATTAAGCCTGGGTAATTATCTGTGGCTCTTTCAGAGAATGTTCAAATTTCTTAGTGATGAATGCAACTAAAATCTCTTTGACACAATTGATTTTTTGTTATTTTTGTAAAAAAACTGTAGAACTATATTGCAACTTCAAAGAAACATTCAAGGGTGTTGCAAGCACATTTAAAACATAAACTGTAAATTAACAAGATAGATAAAAAAATAAAGTGGTACATTTAAAAAAATTTTTTTTAGTTGTAGATGGACACAATACCTTTATTTATTTATCTTTATGTGGTGCTGAGAATAGAACCTAGTGCCTCACACATGCTAGCTAAGTGCTCTACCTCTGAGCCACAACCCCAGCCCCCAAATGATATTATTTCTTAAACTTATTCCCAAAGTTAGGAAAAAAAAAAAGGATTTGACTCATTTTAACCATACATTTAAATTTGGGGCTCTCGGCCCGGCCATCTTGTGGGAAGAGCTGAAGCAGGCGCTCTTGGCTCGGCGCGGCCCGCTGCAATCCGTGGAGGAACGCGCCGCCGAGCCACCATCATGCCTGGGCACCTACAGGAAGGCTTCGGCTGCGTGGTCACCAACCGATTCGACCAGTTATTTGATGATGAATCGGACCCCTTCGAGGTGCTGAAAGCAGCAGAGAACAAGAAAAAAGAAGCCGGCGGGGGCGGCGTTGGGGGACCTGGGGCCAAGAGCGCAGCTCAGGCCGCGGCCCAGACCAACTCCAACGCGGCAGGCAAACAGCTGCGTAAAGAGTCCCAGAAAGACCGCAAGAACCCGCTGCCCCCCAACGTTGGCGTGGCTGACAAGAAAGAGGAGACGCAGCCGCCCGTGGCTCTTAAGAAAGAAGGAATAAGACGTGTTGGAAGAAGACCTGATCAACAACTTCAGGGTGAAGGGAAAATAATTGATAGAAGACCAGAAAGGCGACCGCCTCGTGAAAGGAGATTTGACAAACCACTTGAAGAAAAGGGTGAAGGAGGCGAATTTTCAGTTGATAGACCAATTATTGACCGACCCATCCGAGGTCGTGGTGGTCTTGGAAGGGGTCGAGGAGGCCGCGGACGTGGAATGGGTCGAGGAGATGGATTTGATTCTCGTGGCAAACGTGAATTTGATAGGCATAGTGGAAGTGATAGATCTGGCCTGAAGCATGAGGATAAACGTGGAGGTAGCGGATCTCACAACTGGGGAACTGTCAAAGATGAATTAACTGACTTGGATCAATCAAATGCGACTGAGGAAACACCTGAAGGTGAAGAACATCCAGTGGCAGATACTGAAAATAAGGAAAACGAAGTTGAAGAAGTTAAGGAAGAGGGTCCAAAAGAGATGACTTTGGATGAATGGAAGGCTATTCAAAATAAAGACCGTGCAAAAGTAGAATTTAATATCCGAAAACCAAATGAAGGTGCTGATGGGCAATGGAAGAAGGGATTTGTTCTTCATAAATCAAAGAGTGAAGAGGCTCACGCTGAAGATTCGGTTATGGACCATCATTTCCGGAAGCCAGCAAATGACATAACATCTCAGCTGGAGATCAATTTTGGAGATCTAGGCCGCCCAGGACGTGGTGGCAGGGGAGGACGAGGTGGGCGTGGGCGTGGTGGACGCCCAAACCGTGGCAGCAGAACTGACAAGTCAAGTGCTTCTGCCCCTGATGTGGATGACCCAGAGGCATTCCCAGCTCTGGCTTAACTGGATGCCATAAGACAACCCTGGTTCCTTTGTGGACCCTCCTGTTCAAAGCTTTTGCATGCTTAAGGATCCCAAACGACTAAGAAATTTAAAAAAAAAAAAAAAAAAAAGACTGTCATTCATACCATTCACACCTAAAGACTGAATTTTATCTGTTTTGAAAAATGAACTTCTCTCGCTACACAGAAGTAACAAATATGGTAGTCAGTTTTGTATTTAGAAATGTATTGGTAGCAGGGATGTTTTCATAATTTTCAGAGATTATGCATTCTTCATGAATACTTTTGTATTGCTGCTTGCAAATATGCATTTCCAAACTTGAAATATAGGTGTGAACAGTGTGTACCAGTTTAAAGCTTTCACTTCATTTGTGTTTTTTAATTAAGGATTTAGATGTTCCCCCAATTACAAACTGGTTTTAAATATTCAACATAAAATAGTTTTAATACCTGCTTTGCATTTTCACACACGGTCAGCTGGGACATGTAAACTTTGATTTGTCGAATTTTATGCTGTGTGGAATACTAACTACTTTATGTATTTTAACTTAGTTTTAATATTTTCATTTTTGGGGAAAAATCTTTTTTCACTTCTCATAATAGCTGTTATATATGCTAAATCTTTATATACAGAAATATCAGTACTTGAACAAATTCAAAGCACATTGGTTTATTAACCCTTGCTTCCTGCATGGTTCATTAGGTTCAAATTATACCCGATTCACAATTTCAACTATATTTACTTTCGAAATACGTGACTTTCCCATTTTAAAAGCCAAGCTAGACACTTTATTTGTGGAAGTTGTTTGAGCTACTTAGTGTTGATAAACACATCCTGTCAAGTGTTATGGATATAGGATTTCTACCCCCTCCAACAGGGTGAGTGGAATAAGTTGATTTGCTCTAATGGGTAATGTTTAGACTTCTGTAAAATAAGTGTCTGGCACTTGCTATGATTTTTGTTTGATAGGTCCCCAAATCAGAATGTTACATCTGTAATCAACAACCCTTTTAACCTTTCTTGTTCTGAAGAAACCGAAGGGCACTGGTTAGTATGGTGAGATGGGGAGAGTCTTCAATTTTTGAAATTTGGAAAGCAGACAGCTTTACTTTATAAGGTTGGAACAGCAGCACCATCCATAAAACATAAGCCAAAAATCTTTAACTGTTAATGATTTCCTATATTGTTACTATTTGGTCTTGAAATGATAGATGAATATTTGTTCCAGAGAAGGTGATAAATATCTTTTCCCTCTTCCTTTATTAGAAAATTAGGTAATTAATGGATTCCTTGAACAGGAGCATCACCACTTACTAAACACATGGATAGAATGATCAATAAACAGGTTGTGTAGGATATTTTTTTTTATTCTGCCACATTTATTGATTAAACAGGGAAGGAATTTTATTTAAAGTTTTAAAAAAAAAAAATAAAAAAAAAAATAAATAAATTTGGGATTGATTCTGATATAATGGTGGATAAAAATAACATTGTTACCTCATACTGATATCTCCCAATTTTTAACTATAGCTTTTATGTTTGTTTTCAATTTGACAAGGTTTATAACATTCATATCGCTCCCTGTCACTATACAACTTAGTTTCAATTCTGTGTGTAAAATATAGATGCTCTTCAACTTAGAATGAATGGTTTTATATCCTGATAAACCATCATAAATTGAAAATATTATAAGTAAAAAAAAAGAAAAGTTTAGCTTAGCCTACCTTAAACATCACTACCAGTGCTGAAAGGTGGATCTTTAGCCCATCATGAGTGGCAGTTGAATTTTCTAAACTACAAGTAAAGATCTCCGACCTGATAAAAGATTTTTATGCTTTTCCTGGTTTAAGCGGGGCAGTTTAGAAGACAAAGTACTTGAGTCAAGCTGAAGGTTTATAAGATAGTAGGAAAGAAATAAAATGTGTATGTTTTAGAATAATCTAAGAATTTGAATAACTAAAAATGGCTCTAATAAATTAGTAGATATGAAGCTATTGTGATCAAGGAAATAACTCTAATTCAGAATTAGGACAAATAGATAAAACATCAGGGACATTGTTTCAAAATAACATATACAAAGAATTCTGAAGTTAAAAATAGAAGGATAATAACATTAGTTAGGTGAACTTTGTAGGGAAACGAAGTAGTGTCCTACTTGAGCTAGAAATATGGGAATTTGAAAAGTGAAGAATAAAATTTATTTTAGGTGGATGAACATCTTCAGATGGAAAAGGAACAAGGAAAGATGAAAATGGAATGGCCCAGTGCAAAGTCAGTACCAAACCATTGAGTGATTAAGGATAAAGTGGCACAGGTAGGTCAGATACGTAGATAGAGGAAAGGTCTATACTTCACACTGTGCTTCACATAGGAATTTGTAATTCTGCATTTTGATTGTTAAAAATATATAACAAGTGTAGCCTTCCAGATATAAGGAGGGCTATTTGATTACTGGATCAAAGGAAATTGTTTAATTCATCTAATTCTTAAATGAACATTTTATTCTCAAATTACGTCTTTAATGATTATGCCTTATTTTGGAGACAGAAAGATGATAGTTTACCACCTTCCTGATTAGATAACAAGTCACATCTCCCTTCAATGGATACCAAATGGTGAGTAAGCACAATGGCATTTTAATCACATTGCCAGCCTCCACCTTTGTATAAAAGTGTATTATACCCAGGCAAAGTAAAACATGCTCTGAAAATCAGTTTGTATTATTGATGTTGTTAAGAAAATACAATTAAAAACAGAATATCCTCCAAACCCAGAAATCCTCTCCATGAAGGTGGGTAGGAAAAAAAAAAAAAAAACAACCCTTTGGTGAATAAGCTTTAAAATAGAATTCAATGCACAGCACAGGCAAACTACTAACAGTCTGCACAGAGCAAGGTCTCTAATCCTCCAGCTAGTCTAGCAGCTACATTGCATCACACCCACCCATTCCTCAGAGCAACAATAATCAGTCCTCAAATGAGAGTCTTGATAATAATTCTTACTACACATAGTTATTAAATTGGTTTTGGTTCCAAAAATGTGTTTAGAATAGTTCCACTAAGCTTTTAAGACAGTGAATATATAATGACCTTCTTTGGCTAAGAGGTTTCTGTATAAAATGTATTCTGAAAAATGTGACTCTATAAATATAAAGTATGCTTATTATGTGAATATTCAATAATAGTTGCTTGCTTTTATGGCAAACGTCAAAATATTTTATAAAAAATTAATATATGTATAAACATTTTCTCATTGCATTGTTTTTGCATATTTGTTTCAGTTTCCTCTACCTTGAAAGATGTTGAGATAATTGGATTACAAAGAATGACCCTTTTCTCCCTTCATCAACGTTGCCTTTACTTATATTCTGCAATGGAACACACCAGTGCCCACTTGATAAATAAAAACAAAAGCTCAGTGACCTGTGTGCAATCTCATTTCAATACCTTTTCTAAGAAAGAGAGCTTATTTTGATTAAAAGATTTTGCTTTTCTTCTTTGCAGGAAGTTGCAAAAGTCTAGGTTTACTTAATGAAAATTTAATTGTATGTAACTTTCTATATGTCATATATATTTATTGAATATAAATATATATGTCAGAGTTATGATATCATTCAGATAAAGAAAATACAATGGAGCAGTGTTTGTGTTGCTGGAATCTATTTTGCAGTACTCTTTTAAGTTATATGTATTCAGTATATGTGAAAATGTTTTATGTGTTTCTATATAGTTATAAAAGTTATATAAATTGGTTTTCTACCAAAAATTGGGAGTTACATTTCTTTTTCATTTTCAGATATGTTCATTTGAGTATTGCATTTGGGCCTATAATATTAATATATTGAATTTTCTTTCTCTTTGTCTTCCTCCCCTTCTCTCTTTTCCTTTCTTCCTTTTTTCTCTCCTTATGGAAGTATGAGTTCTGTGGCTGGCTATTGATTGGGGAATTCTAGCATTAGATGCACATGCCATCACTCTAATGCTGTCTAACCTAAACATTCACAAGGGAGAAGGAACCTGTCAAAAGCTAGTGGCACATATTACCTTTCACATACTGTCACTAAAACCTATAAGGTAGAGGTGTTGTAACCCCTAACTGTTCTCCATGCTTTCACCCTGGCTTGTTTTCTACCAGCTGTTCTCAAGACAGCAGCCACAGAGATGTTTGTTAAAGGGGAAGTCAGATCATGGCCATCCTCCATTCATATGTCCCCCATTCCTGCCCCATCTCAGTGGGGAAACACCTGGCAAGACTTCCTGAGATCTGCTCCTCCCACTCCCTTTCAAGCCTCTTTCCTGCAGCTTTGTTTCTAGCTCACTCCATTCTAGTCACACTGGCCTCCTGCTCTTCCTCAGGTGATATTGTTCCATTCACTCATTTACAGGTTCACTCAAATGCCACCTTTATTGGCAATTCCACTAAAATCACTTCTTTTAACCACAAAGTTGGGAATCCCTATACTCCTTTTTTTTTTTTTTGCTTTAATTTTATGTTTAACACCTACCACCAACTTCATACTGTATAAAGGCTTATTTTTCTGAATTGTGGTCTGTCTTCCAATAGAATATAAGTCCATGAAGGAAGGGATTCTCATCTACATAGTTTACTATTGTATCCCGAGTGCTAAGGACCATATCTGGCACGTAGTAGGTGTACAATCCTTTACTTATGAAAGGAACCTAATATAAATCTATATTTTTTATTTAAATAAATTCATTTAGAGAGAATAAACATTTGCCCAAGGCTGTAGGCATAGCAACTAAGTGATGAAAAGAGAGGAGATTAACAAAGAAAAAGGTCATTTCATATATAGAAACAGCTTCCCAAGATGACCACAGCTTTCCTTGATTGAATTGTCTTTTGGATACTCCCAGCATTCTAACTTGCATGTTATTTAACAACATTTGTTGAGTGCATATTATGTTTCAAGCCCTGTTTCAAATACTGGCTCTTGACAACTAACTCAATGATCTAGAATCCTGTCTGTCTGAAATTTGTCTCCTAGTTGAGAAATACTAAAGTAAATAAATGTATTAGTTGGTGACAAATGTTGTAAAACATGATGGTATCATACTGAATGGTGTGAAGAGGGGTCCATTATAAATTTGTTACCCTTTGAAGATTTTTTTTAATCAGAACAAATTTAATCCTAGGTGTGCATGAGAATAATAAAACAATCTGGAAAGATCTGAGCATAAACCTTTTCAAACCAAGAACATAGCTGGTATAAAGTTTTGCTTTTGGAAAAAAGCTTAGAACACTTGAGTAATAAAGGGCAGGTGGGTTAGGACAAAATATAAAGTGATAGCATTGTATGGCATGATTTTGGAGAGATAAGCAGGACCTAATTCATGT